AGGTTTTTTTCAAACCAATTTCTAGTTCATCAACTAGTTTAGTGTAGGCTATTTTCTACTCTCAGATTCTTTGAATTCAGAGATCAGGCGGTTACAAAGTGTCTTGATAAGGTGTTTGACTAAGTGGTTTCTCTAGAGAGTCGGAAAGTAATTCGGCAACATCAGTATCAAGGTTTCCAAGAATGTGATAGGTAGTATTTTGTCCGTTCTTATGATATTTTTAACAATAAATTGTGCGTCAACTTGGCGTGGTAACCAAACCTTCTCATTTTTTCTCCAAAGGGTTAAGTTTTGACGGTTAATTTGGAGAGATCATCTAAATTGGTTGATAAGTTAGGATCAGTGACATTATCTTCAGTGTCTGACATTTTTAGGCCTAAACTAACCTGGGTTTGGCTCTGACTGATGATAGTTGAGGTTTCTTGGAGATGTTGACGTCTTGAAAAATTTGCTTCAATGTTGCTACGTAATTATCACGTTGTTGGTCACCAGTGTGGTTAGTGATGATGTACAATGATTAATAAAATAATAAAATTTTAGAGGATTGTATGGACAAAAAGTACATCATTAAAAAAAAAAGGTAGGTAATGAAGAAAGTAAATATTTAGTTAACAATAATTTCCAATCCCCTCGGTATGTTTTAATGACAGATGACAGCCACAAAGTAAACTACACTTAAAACTTACCGTTATCTAATTTTTTCAAAGGACCTAATGATGATAGAAAAGTCCCAAATAAAGCCAAAACATGGTAAAGTCAAATGACTGTCGTGGAATAGCCTAAATTATACTTGTAGGCAAGAGTCAATAAAAATTCTTATTGTTATAGCCTACCTAGGCCTACCTTTAGTAATATTAATCAATGCTTTCCAGTACATACAGTACAGAACTTATTGACAAAATTAAGATACAAGCAACAATTTTGTTACAAGACAGTATGTTTATTTACACAGTAACATTCTGTAGAGTTTAGCGTATTGTTCCCACCGCCGAGCGTTGGAGCAGAAATGCCGAGATTCCTAGAAAGCTGAGGTTAAATCGAACTGCCCTCAGAAAAAGGTCAGTTAGGTAATAACAAACTGTAATATTTTACTAGCGAAGCCGGAAAATTTTCATTATCGGTTGATGCGAGGTTGGTCTACTTTAATTTGTTTGTATCAGCTGAGTGGAATTTGTGTGTTTGACATTATTTAGTTTACAATAAAAGTTAAATCAATTATAAACATTGTGAGTCTTCTCATTGTTTCCGTGGAGACCGTTAAATATTTACTCTTAAAAGCCTCGCTTCACAACTTTTAAAGCCTATGGGGCAAAGCTCTCAGTCAGTATCGCAGCAGGAATAGTCCTAAAATGATACTTAGAATACTGTAGTAGGTAGCTATGAGAGTGGTTTAAAACAAAAGAATATTACCTTCTGACGCCAATTGGTTCACGCTAATTACACACTAATTAGTAGCCTAAATTTTTTTTTTTTTTTTCTGTTTGTATGAATGTTCAGCAGTCATGGTGGGGAAGTCGTCTGGTTGCCCGTTGTTGCAATATTAACTAGCCCCTCTACTATATTTAACAATAGTATACTATAGTTAACAATAGACCTTGCTTCGAGTGGACCTGGTTTGCAGCACCAGCGCTTTGGTGACAACTTAGAGCCCCAATTTCTTGTCACGAGGTGACTGAGCTCGCAGGCGGCATAGTTCTTCAACAAAGTAATTTCATTCTTTGGGACTATTTAGACAAGTAGTAGTCAATTTCAGTTACTCCTTTAAACATCACATTTCAAACGTTCCTTACTTTCTAAACAACTCTCATATACGTATTTTTGTAAAATTTAATCCCAGTTAGTTGAGTAGCTTTTGTGTGATAGAGTAATACTTTGACCAATAGTCAATGGTAGCAGACAGACACCATTAAATTTTTATATAGGAGTGGCCTAAATAACACGCCCACAGTGTGGGAGGGCGCCGACATCCAGGGGGCGCCGAGGTTCGACAGTGACCGATTAACGCAATCACGAAAAAAGGTGACATAATTTCCGAAACGACGGGAGACGATGATGATGTCTTCAAGACCAAAGAAGACATTCATGATTTGGCCTCAATCGTAAAAATAGAAGACGTTGTTTCCGTGATCGTGGGCAGTGCCGGATTTAGGGTACTTGCGGCCCTAGCCCAAATTACTTGAGCGGCCCTCCCCCTGTGGTGGAAATTCCTTGCAATCGTGAAAGTAATCGTGAATGCACCAAATCGAGGAAATAACCTATGCATCAAAGAGACAACATCATCAACACCCGTGATCGTCGATGAAATCGTGGACATCTCTCCTAAACCAAGTCAAAGGCATCAAGGTTATCTGTGACCGTGACCGTGGCAAAATCATTAACAAATCTCGCGGGCTGCAACAACGGGACATCATCCTCAAACCTCGCGACCCCAGCGAAATCGTGATCATATCCCGTGAGCTGTGACCTTGAGGACGTCATCACTGTCACCCGTGACCACAGTAAAATCGTGAACATCTCCAGTGGGCTGCATTCACAGGGACATTATCATCGACACTTGCGACTGTGGCAAAATCGTTAACATCTCCCGTGAAACAGCAATCACGGGTACATCATCATCGACACTTGCGATCGCAGCAAAGTCATAACACATCTCCTGTGGACTGCGATTATGAGGACATCATCATTGTCACCTGCGGCCAGGCCAAAATCGTAAACATCCCCCTCGGTAAGCCATCACTGGGACATCCTCATTGACACCCCCAGCCGCTGCAAAATCGTTAATATCTCCCGTGAGCCGCAATCACGGGAACATCATCATCAATACTGGGAGCCGCGATGAAATCATGAACATCTTCCGTGGGCCGCAATCACGGGGACTTCATCATCGACACTCGCGAAAGCGGCTGATTCTTGAATGACTCCCGCGGGCTTCAATCATCCGCGGAACACATCACCGTCATCCGCGGCCATGGCTAAATCGTGAACGTCTCCCACGGGCCACAATCACAGGGACATCATCATTGACAACCCGTGACAGCGGCTAATTCTTGAACGTCTCCCTGCGATCATGATGGCACATCACCGTCACCCGCGGCCGCGGCTGAATCTTGAACGTCTCCCGCGGGCCACAATCACGGGGACATCATTATCAGCACCCGCGGCCGTGGCAAAATCTAGAACATCTCCCTTGGTCCGCGGAGACATCATTATGGTCACCTGTGATTATGGAAAACTGGTGGTTAAAAAAAAATTATTTTTTAATCTAAAAAATGTTTTTCTCAATCCTCTGCTGCTCCCTTTTGCTTGCGACCTAGTGGTTAATCCGGAACTGATCGCGGGGACGACGATGATGTCTAGAAGACTGAAGAAGATATTCACGATTTTTTGCGCAATGGCAAAAAAAGATTACGTAGTTTGTTTGACTGCGGGAGTCGAAAATTATGTCTATAAGACCGAAGAAGATATTCATGATTTTGGCACAATTGCAAAAAAAAAGATTGAATTACTTCCGTGACCGCGGGAGACGATGATCATGTCTACATGAACGCAGGAGATATTCAATATTTTGCCGCGATCACCGATAACTATGACGATGTTTCCATTACTGAGAGAGTTGATTAAAAAACGTCCGTGAGAGTTTTTGGATTTTGTTGTGATCACGGCTTTTGGTTAGATAAACGAAGAAAACATAAGTGGTGATGTATTTTTGGGGAGGGGGGGCGCTATCTACATGTAGGCCTAGTGCGGGTAGGTGTGCTTAATGTACCTACGCCACTGATAGATAGATTTAGCTTTGGGAGCTCTGGTCAATCGAAATTCAATATTAACCCAGAAACAAAATCATTCCGAATCATGGGATGATCCCTTTCTAATGTTTTTCAGAAGAACAATTATTTGTTTTACTTGTGTATTTCAGCAAACCTTCATTGAACCAATGTCATATTTTACTACATAACATGTGAGTCGTTGGCTCAGTCGGTAACGTCGCGGACTTCGGGCCCAAGGCAGCGATGTCGTGGGTTCGGATCCTGGTCACTGCCACTAATATTTATCAGTACAGTTCACCTTCGTACTGTACCGGCTCACTCCTTGCTTTGCTGTAAACGATCCACACACGGGCGCTTAGTCTATGTGGACCGGGTCAATGCAAGGTTAAAAGAGGCCGCCAACCTCTTTTTTTTTTTTTAAAAGAAAAGAGTAGGCCTAGAAGTGGTTGCTCAATAAGCCGTTTCAGCTGCGATGCAATCCCATGGTTTACTATAAGCCTGGCCCTCTGTTTTAAAAGGCCTAGAAGTAGAATATTGTAATAGCTCTAAAATTGTACTGTATTCAATTGGAACTATACTAAAATGGAACTGTAGGTAAAAAAAGTTTACATCAAAAATGGCTTTTGTATTTTTAATAAGAGGTTTTTTTTTTCTAGATTCGTTGCATGAACTGGAAAAAGATTATGTGTAAAAAGAAAGAAGAAGAAAATATATCCAAGGATTTCAACATGGACGCACTTCGTAAATTTACAGGTTTCAAGGAGATATCTTTTGAAGGAGGAAAATCAAAGTCTCGGGAGAGTCACATGAACATGGGTGAATTCTATAAGTATCTTTCAGATCATGAATGTAGTTATGTGTTCAAAGAATATTTTGGAGTGGAAGGCAAAGTTAGTGGCTCAGATAAATGACTTAAACTGACAAAACTTGACAATGATATTGAACATTGATTGGCCATATTTTTGATACATGAACTTTTACAACACAAAACCTACATGGTTTACTACTCTAATTCTGTCCCTTGCGTTGTAGTACTACGATTAATTTAGTAGTACTGGCGATGGCCGGAGGCCATCAGTAATCAAATTAACTGCTTCAGACAGAATTAATTGTTAGTTAAGTATTTTTAATAAATCATATAAAAAAAAATAGAATCATCCTTTTACAATTTCCCTCCAAATTTTCTTAAGGATTTATAACCGAATATAACGTCTAAAATCATTTCTATTTTACCTGATAGTTTGTTCAAGTCAATGTCAGGATAACTTCTCTTGTTAATCACATGATTTTCTGACCCAATTCTAAAAGTTCGTCTCACTTCATTTACATAATTGTTGATAAAATTGTTTACCTCAACTTCTCTGGCATCCTCTGAAATTCAATAAGATAGATCATTCACTGTCATAATTTGTGCTATAAAATGTATATGCTTATTCATGATTGATATTTATACATTTAGTTCCTGTACATATAAAACTTGTTTGTTATTTTTTATATCGATTAAATACAATTCTTACAATTAATTTTCATCATCTTGTAATTTCTATTGTACCTGTTTTAATCCAAAAAGTCACGATAATAACACATCTGTGAATATGAAAGAAATTTAGCAGTTGTTATTTTAAAGCTTAATTTTCCTGGCAGCTAGGATAGATAATTTTATATCCGCATCCGTTGTCTTTACAGAGAAGCCAAAAGACACGGGTAATTACACAACATATGATTTGTTTTTACATTCCTTAATTAGGTGATATCTAGTAAAAAACTTGAACAGCCTATAATGATACAAAGCTGATCGAAGGAACTATTACAATGGCTGCTGAGTTGAAGTTATTCTTTGGAATAAGTAAATGAATAAAACCTGGTACAAAGGGTTATCAAGCTAATGTTTTATACCATTAAAACTTACAAACTGTCAAAAGTAGAGTAAAAAGTTGTACTTAAGTATGGATTACACTTGCCTGTTATTGAGTTAATGTCTTGAACATTCTGTAGCATCATCCATACCAACAAAATAACATTTCTGTAAAGCTTCATTCTGGTTCAATTTAATTTTACCTGAAAACAAAATGAAAATTATTAACTTTTCTTTTCTTTTGCATTTATAAAAATTACTCTTTAGGCTCAAAGCTCTCAAGACAATCTTTCACTTTAGATGAACATTGGATGATGTGTGTAAACAGCCTGGCCAAAAGATAAGGATATTTTGTACCCCAAAGTCAGTGTGCCTTTCAATTTGAATTTATATACTGTGTAGCCTTGTAGTTTGTGGAGAGGCTACTGAAGAAATTCATATTATGTCCTTTTGAAAAAGTGTCACATGGCAGTGATCGATAAATTTACCAAACTCAACCTGACTTTACCGTAGGCCTACTCCAGGTCACTTTATCAGTCCCTCTATGGAAACAACGACTTGGGTGAAAACATATAGTGGAGCGGCAAAGCTAGAGTGAAGCGAAGAGCGTAGCTAAGAAAGAGTTTTTTTTACCCCCGATTGTAACGGCGCTTCACATGCACATAAAGGACCGGTGAAGGGGCTGGAAAACAGTACTTTTGAATATTCATTTAACCTCCTTTATCCAACATGGGGGTTAAGTGTACTAATTTTGTGAAGAAACCAACTTGTGGTGAGAATAGTAAAACACAAGAAAGTCCCCATTTATATTGTATCCATACAACTGCTTATGTAACCATTATTCATACAACAACGCTTCACTATATTAAATTTTTTAAGCTCTACAAAACAGTTTGGAAAGAAATTGAAAATTTTTATGTTTTCAAGGTAAAAAATTGGAAAACCCAATTTTTACTTCATTAAAGTTCTCATGGTCCAATCATGCTGCTTTGAGAACTCGTTCAAATAAATGTAGGTTTACACATTCATACCAAATTTCATCAAAATCATATCATCATTTTAGAGAGCTGAAAACCCTACTGGGGCTGTTTTATAACTATGAAAAGTGCATTTTAATGACGGTTTTACCATTGAAGCTCAACCCTCGACCAAACCTTAAAGATAAATAAATCCGAGTAGAATAACGGGGCGAAAAGGCTAGGTGTGTTGGCGTGGGTACCAGCTACATTCTCCACTACACTATGTTTTGGCACACCTTCGTAATGGATTATTTAAAATCCGATCAGCTATGCTCTAGCCTCACCGTTCCACTATTTTTTCACCCTTTCTCATCTATAGAGTTTAAAAACCAGCTGCTTATTGTGTAGGGTGGTGAACACTTCTAGGGTCGACACTTTTCGACCCAAGCTCAAGTTTTACGATATAGGGGAAGCAATGGTAGGAAAATGAACGAGGGTTGAAAAGACACTTTTTGCCCGTGTTATGAACTATATTTTTTGTCATATTGCACCATTATTTTAACAAACTACGTTACAAAACTAAAATAGTTTAAATTTAAAGATACCTCCTGAAACTACTTCTAACTTGTTTTCAATTTAATTTGCTAATGGAAACAAGCAGCTGTTTAGTTTGTTATTCAATAATTTTGTCTATTACGATAGTGTGTAGTGTTAGTGTACATTATACTATGTTGAACTATTTACAATAAGGCAACAATAAGCTACAATAGTTAAACAGTTGATACACACTCTCAATACATGCGATTGTTTACAATAGAAATTTTCAACTGAGATGACAGCTGATTTTTACTCCCTAGGGGCTAAAAAGCTTTAGACCTGCAACGCATCCATTAAAAACGACTGTTTTTGCTGCAGTGTGACAGAAAATGTACTTTAACACATTCAAAAAAATACTTTACGATCACTTTGTATACAAAAATACAAGAATAGCTTATTTAATTAATTGTTCCTTTAAATTTAAAGGAACAATGAGATCAATACGCAGTAAAATTTATCAGTTTAAAAAAATGGTAAACCATTAACTATTAAGCATTAACTCGTGTTAAATACCATTCAACCATGATGTTTTTTTTAAATACTATTAAATTAACTAATAATACTAATGTAATAGATACTATAACGAAAGGTATAGTCAGTAAAAAGACCAGAGGGTTTGGACCAGTTGACCAGTCCCTTAAAAAATAACCGTAAAAAATGCCAAAGGCGTAGGTAAACCACGCTGTAAAATCTTAACTTGTACAAACAAATCATATTGTAAATAAATAGGTTCTTAATTAATTTGATTTCAAGGTTTTATATTCATTTATAGTACTTAAGTAATCATAATTGAACATGTCGCATCGGGCCAAAAATATTAATTCCTTTTGCAGTAATTATATCTTAGATCTTATACACTATAATGGCTTAATATTTAATTAGATGTAATCATTAAACGTTTTTAATGGAAACCAATATTTTCTTCAAAAGTTAGTTATGTGTTGTAGCATCAGTAACCATTTCACACAGAGTATTGCTGTTTTTCCTGTTGTCTAGTATATTTTAAGTCTGATTGTTGTTCAAATACTCTCATAAGCAATTACAACTACAACTTAATCATAAGCAAGAAATTGTTTATGAAACATAACATAAACATATTTTGAGGATATTCATTACTTACCAGTCCTTTTCAGGAAGTGAAATAATAAGTATAACTAAGTTATTAGATGTTGGATAGACTATGTTCAAGTATGTATTTTTATCATCAAACTCAACAGTTCAAAACATGAAATATAGTGATGGAGTTCTACCTCAGGTCAAAGGTGGATAGGATACCTGTACCAACCTATCCTCTGAGTATAAGCATGTCTCTTTGGTATAAATTAACAGAAATATATATATAAATTTAATTAAATTATATATATATATATACTTATATATGTTTATTATGTTTCCTTATTTTGTTTCTCTACTGCAGAATAATCTATTCGTAAACTTAATTTTTATTCTTGATTTTTCGTTGTTTCAACTTTTATATATGCTAAAAGCCTTGAGTGACGCATTGTAAAAATGAGTAACAAAGATTTGATAAATTTTATTGAGATACATTTTGATTTTATTTTGAATTATTTCAAACTGCCTACCATGCATAATATTTTTTTATGTAAGCATTGGTGTAATAAAAGGCTGACTTAAATAATTGTTTTACCAATATTGTACAAGTTTTTTTCTGAATACAAATATTTGATCGAATTTTCAGTTTTGCACTCTGGAATCAGCATTACTAAAGTGTCTCCCAAATAAATTGCATGTTAAATTTTATGGACGTCAAATTTCTTAAGTTTAACTTTTAAAAGACAGTCAGGATGAAGGATTATATCAGCTAGGATTGGTTATTATATTAGTGATGGTATTATTGATGTGAAATGACATCTTAGTTATAGAAAAATGCTAATATCTTATTTATTGCTTATTCTTGTTCAGCATATAGGAAAAACATTTGCCGTAAATGGTGTTTAAAAAAAAAAAACTTTAAAATAATATAAAATATAAGAAAAATATGTTCATTACCATATACAGGAATTTACTCATATTTCATTGGTAATTTTAGTTTTAAAATAATTCGGGAGTATGTGTGCTGCGGCTGACTTGAACGAAACTACAGAAAACGTACTATAGTAGTATGTTTACTGTGACGAAACACAATGCAGAAGAAGTCCAGTTTTCAATCCCTTATTTAGCATTTGGGGCCATTTACTGGCAATAACGCAAGGAAGTTTTGCTTCCAAATCGTCCAACGTTTGTGGTTTATTGAGATGGACTAGTTGCTTTTGAATCCACATACAATACTCCATTGGTGTCAGATTGAATGGTCGTGGAAACAAGTTCACAGGTCCATTACACAAAATGTGATTACCAAATGTTTCTTTCAGTAAGACTTGTTTCACATGCTATGTATAGCAAATAGTGATAATATCATGCTGAAACCAAAGATTTTCTTCATCGTAATTTAATTGGGGAAGGAAAAAGGAAATAATCATAGCTCTTTAGCACTCTTCATTTTCAGTAACAATAATATGAGTAAAATCGTCTTTGAAAAAATATAGACCAATGAGCCCACTCGCCCACAATGTATACCAAACTCCAGTAACTTTTAATGGATGCAACGGGATTTCAAAAAATGTTCTTGAATTTTCTTTAATCCAAATATGGCAGTTTTATGTACTGATAAACCACATACGTTGGACGATTTCGAAGCAAAAATGTATCATGTGGTTGCTGGTAATTGCTCTAGCTGCTGATTAAAGTAAAGGGAAACTTTTGACTTCCAAATCACTCTTCATTCGAGCCAACCGCAGCACCCATATATCCAAATTTATTATCAAACATTAAATGGTAACAAGTGAAGTGATGAATACATGATGAGAGGAAAACCAAGCAGCACACTCAGGCATACCATAAATAAAAAAAGGGACTTGCATGGTTTTTTTTAGTTTAAAAAAATCATCGACACTGTCAAAATTGTTGATGGGTTGATCAGGAGGAGACATTCCACACACTTTTTCGATAGTTTGTTTGGAATGTTCTGGAAGCATAGGCAATTGGGCTGGAATGTTCTGCTAACAGTGTCGGCACAAGTGTACAAGTGGATTAGTAGATGTCGCTTGCACTTCTAGCGCCCGCAACCTCGATCATCTGTCATGATATTTGATGAGTGACTGAAAGATTAAACGATTGTAAAAAGATTGATAAAAAGATTTTCTTACAGTCAACAGTGGTTCAGGCACTTGGTTCCTTTTACAATTCTTGCTGCCTTTTTTGGTGAATCAGGACTCTTCAACTTCACGAGCAGCATATCACAAGTCACCAACATAGGGTGGCGGAATTTTACCCCCCAGGTTAGTGTTTATGGGGTGCAGGTTGAGCAGATTAGTGACGTAACGATGACGTCTCAGTATTATCTCGACCAAAAAGGTGTGTACAGGCTGGAATTGTATCCCCCTCATAAAACTTTGATATTGTTATGCATGCATGAGTGGTTTCATTAAATCCACTGGCATCTAAAAAACTGTACGGGCCGGAATTGTACCCCCCTGGAATTTTATCCCCTGGTGACCGCAGAAAAAGATGTAGCCTACAGCCAGGAA